CAGTAAAGTTAATCAATAACTGAATAAAGAAACCTAACCAAGAGGTCACTTTAACATTAAAAAAAAAAAAATTAAAAACTATAGATCTAAATTAATATTTAAAAAGTTTGTATAAATAAATTAAAATATTTTTTTTAAAAAAATTATTTTTAAAATTGTATATTTTTGGTTTATAAATAATATAAATTTTTTTATATAATCTAAAAATAAATACTATAAAAAATAATCTATATTTTTAAATATTATTATACCAAATTTTATTTGAATATTCTAAATTATTAAAAAAATAGATCAGTAATATATTTATAGTACTAACATAGGCAAATTTGTCTATATTGGTTTACAATCTAAAAAATAGGTTTTAGTTAAAATTTTAAACTTTTTTTATATTAATATTTATTTTCTTACAGTATATATATCTGTTTTATATTATATTTTATTTTTTATTATCTATTTTTACTTTTTTTTTTTCTTTACAAGAAGTATTATTAAATTAATAATATTTTATTGTAGAGCAAAAATCATAATAAGATGAACAATAGCCAACTATTAAATTTAGAAATACAATTTTTTAGTAAATTTTAAACTTTTAAAAAAAGCCAAATATTACTAAACAAGTTGTATTTAAGTATAATATAGTAGTTTAATAATTTATTCTAACTGCAATTAAAAATTACAGCATCTACAAAATAAAACTAGATGAGTTTGTCTTTTGGTCAAAATATTATAAACTAAAATTAGTATATATTTAAGTATTGCTTTAGTTTTTCTTTAAATAAAAGCAAACAAAATTTGTTAAAAAAAAATATTACTTATTGTTATATACTTTTTAAAATTCAAATCTTGCTATATCTTATATAATTTGCTATATATTTATATATATATTATATTTTTTATTTATTATATGACAATATTATAAAAAATTTTTTACTATAATTAAAACTACTTGAATTTATAGAAATTTATAAAACCAATATAGATAAAATAAATTTAATAAATAAAGCAGAACTATTTAAATAAAAATAATTTTAGATTTGGGTCTTATAGTTTAGTAATTAAACTTTTAAACTCCAAATAAGATTAATGATTTGAGTTAAACTGAAAGTAATTTTCAAATTTGTTTTTATAACTTATAGAGCTATAATCAGATACGGAGCTCTGTGATAAAGTCTAAGTATAATATAAAACTAGAATAAGAAGTTTTTAGAAAAAACCCAAATTATAAAATGTAGGTACTATATATAGTAGCAGTATTATAGAAAGTTCTGTTATATAAAGATCGTGTAAATAAGTTCTTTAATTAGGATAACCTAAAAGCAATACCAATATTTTTTTATCTTCAGTTTGACAATACCAACATTTCTGTATTCAACTTATAGAATATTTATTTAGAAAAATAATTAATAGATTGTGTTAATAAGTCTTAATTAGGAAAAGTATAAAATACTTGTTTGAAAAAGTAATATCAAAGTAACTAAACTAGAGCAGTAAGAGAAGCAATAATACACAACTATAAATTGTGATAAAAGATTATGCCTTAATTAAAATTAGAAATATTTTTAGTATTAGTAAAATAACTACAGAAAGCTACTCAATATAAAGAAAAGTAAACTATCTATGTATATCTAAATATACTAAATTAGAGCTCTAATTACATCTATATAGAAATCTATAATGAAAAAAGTTAAGATTTATTAGTAAAAATGCTATATTAACTAGAAATAGCTAAAAGTAATACAACTTACTACTTAAATAATTTTATAATATTAGGCTAGTCTTTAACAAAATAAATCATTAAAGCAGATCATAAAAACCAATAGCTAAAAATATGTAATCTTGTAATTGCTAGACAATTTAGAAAGTTTTTATAAACTATAATCTCAATTAATACTATATAAAAAAGTATATAAGGGGTAAAGATATATATTATATTAGATAACTAAAGAAATATTAAAACCTGATAATAGCAAACTGACAACAGCAGCAAGGCCTAGCTTGAAATATGAGGTTAATATATCTGGAAAAGTAAATGAGAAAACCAGGATATTCATATAACAAAAACTATATGAAGAAATACAAACTAATATAACTAACACAAACACAAGATAAGTTTCTAGACTAATATATAATACCAATGCTTTTCATATAAGACTAACAACAGCAACAAATATCTGGCTTGAGAAATGTATATGAGAGGCTATCTGTGTAGTAATATTGAAAATTCCAATAACAGATATACTTGATCTTAGATAATTCAAAATGTTCGAAGTTACAGGTGAACTGCAAGAAATCTGTCTATATTTTTTCTGCATCTCTAGTACTGAACTCATACAGGAAGGTTCCAAAATTACGTGTCGGAAGGCATCGGAATACTGATCAGATGGGCCGGAATTTATCAATTTTATTAATGAAGTCATAGCCTTCGTTAAGTAAGTATTGCTAAATGCCGGCCTAGTTCCGATGCCTTCCGACCCGGATTTTTTTTATACCTTCATGGTTTGTTACCAATGAGGACGATGCGTGTCGTATTTGACCCGGAATTTTGGAGATCCCCCTAGGTGCCTGGAAGTGGATTGTCTCCGTCATCTCATTTAGGGTATAAAAATAGAAATGTGGCGTTCACGAGGAGACATGTAAACAAATGATCCGGAAAACTAAAAAATCAACAAAATCCACCAACACAATTGAATAAAACAAAATCATACGTAACTTTTAATCGTTGTCATGACATACAGTATCTAATATACGAATTTAGACAATAGCACGATGGCCAAATCATTTTGTGAAGACTTAGCTGAAGATTTTAAAAGCCTATATGAAACCAAAGAACGTTGTGACACAATTATTAATGTTGGAAAAGAACCAAATGTTGAACAAATTTATGCCCATTCTGTAATTCTTTGTACTAGATCATCTTATTTTCGTACTGCATTATCTGATAAGTGGGCTAAAAAAAGATGGTGGATATTTAGTTTTATCAAAACCCAATATAAGTGCATTTACTTTTAAGATTATTCTTAAGTAAGCAATTTATTTAAATTTTATAGCAACGATTTTTTTAGGATTCTAATTCTATATTATATATATTTAAATAGGTTTTTGTATTGTGGAATAGTGGATTTAGAAAGCCAAGAAATTGAAATAATATTTGAGCTTCTAATTGCTGCAGATGAACTTTCAATTCAAAAATTTACAGCCTATATTCAAGACTTTTTAATTGAAAATAGCTATAAATTCTTACTGCAAAGTCTCATGAAAATGCTTCATTTTATTGTACATAATCAATTCGATGAACTTAAAGAAGCTTATGTGGAGACCATTTGTGAAAATCCAGACTTATTATTTGATTCAGAGGAGTTTCTGTCGTTAGAGGAAGATGCACTAAAATTAATTCTTAAATGTGATAATCTCGACATAAAGGAAAGTGTTATCTGGAATAAACTAGTTAAATGGGGAATTGCACAATGTAAAACGCTTGAAAATAACATGATATGTGATGACACTAAGAATGAAAACATTGATAAATTAGAAGAAATATTACAAGAATTAATTCAATTAATTAGATTTTATCAAATTGATCCCAAGGAATTTATTCCTGAAGTATGGGAATATAAACACCTTCTTCCCGACAAAGTAATTAAGGATATATTACATTGTCATTTGGATCCAGATGCTAAACCATTATATCACACATTTCCGATCAGATGGGGCAATTTTAAAGTCGACTCACAATTAATTGATAAGGAAATCGCATTAATATTGACGAAATGGATAGATAAAAAAACTATAGATGACGAAGAATCAAAGGGATTTCAATACCATTTTAATCTTCTTTTTCGAAATAGTTCAGATGGTGGTGGTCTTTCATCTCATAAATTTCATCAAAATTGTGATAACAAAGGAGCAACAATTGTCATAGCGAAAATTAAAGATAAAAGTTGGCTTATTGGTGGTTACAATCCACTTGATTGGAATGGAAATGATGTATGGAAACAAACAACAGATAGCTTCTTATTTGTATTAAATATTGATACCCTCAAAGGATCTACATCATACGTTGATCATAGTAGTTATGCAATTTATTGCAATAGTGGTTGTGGACCAAGTTTTGGGGAAGGCCCTGATTTTCGCATATCAAATGATGGCAGTACTTTTAAATATAGAGTAAAATCTTATCACCGTAAGTTAGTAAATTCAAATAATCCAGGATCACATGAAATTTCAAAACTTTCAATCACAGATTATGAAGTTTTTCAGATAGTTAGCAACATTTCTACCCAAGGTTGATTACAAAAATATAACTGCATAATAAATCAATTAAATGAAATGCATGTATCACTATGCATAATCTTAAATTTGATTGATCAATCTAAAGTTGTAGTTTTTGTGTATTTAGTACGTGATTTCGTGATCTTTGAAATAACGCACAGGGGTGTAATTTCGAATTTTAGATTAAGCTTAATTCGAGCATGCCTATTACTTTGCGAAAATATATTAGTATTAATCGCTATACGTATAACAATTAATTTTTTCCGTATTTATTGCAAGAATTTTTTATGTTTCAACTAAAGATGCTGGTGAAGTTAAACCAGAGTGATGAAACTATTGGTAAAATTGGTGTTGAATTGGTGAAATTAATTTCACCAGCATCTCTAGTTACAATGATCTATATTACGTGTAGATTCTAACTCATTGCGACAGTCGCATGAGTAAATAAACGAAACAATCTTGGTTTTTTTTGATCACACGAAACTTTACGATTTCGGATGCTAATGTATAGTATTTTCATTTAATTTGTCGATCACGCCAGGTTTATTTGCCTAATATCATCACCCGTAAACTCTTTTTACAAAATTTAAGCTTTTATCACTTTCGAATAAATTATCAAGCCTGTTAAACGATAATTTGGAAATAAATTATGTACGATAATTAGAACTCCTTTTTACGAATATTTATTAAAAAGGATATTGTTAAATATCGCAGTTTAATATGATCGACCAATTAGATCACAGGATCTTGTGTAACAAAAATGAACGAAAAATTAGAAAAAATTAAGAAAAAAGTCAAAGTTTTAAATATTTCGAACAAATTTCTATTAAAAATAAGGGATTTAATTTATAGTGCTATAGCATGATGGTGCTAGGGTGTTGTGACCAATTAAAATTTAAGATCAGGTGTAACATGCAGATCACCTTTCGTGTAACAAAAATAATGAATTTTTAAAAAATTATTTATATCTCAATTTTGATTAAAAAACCATCTTTTGTGTTTTAATAAAAAAAATTCCTTGCAAAATTTTAGTTTAACTATATCTTGTCTAACCTTAACCCCAGCTTTAATCTAAATCTAATTAAAAAGTTTTATTTTTGTAAAGACTAGATTGTTTTGATTTACATGTTACACCAATTTTATATTTATATATAAGTAGCACTACAGTGCTATAGTACTATAATAATATTTCCTAAAAATAATATAAAATTGTTGTTATACAAGATAAATTCTATTTACAACATACAAGATTTATATTTACATACTATTTAATCTTTTATATATTATTGGTTTGGAAAACTTTGCTACTATAAAAATTATATAAGTAAATTGGTAATGATTTTTTTTCCAAAGTGTTTTTGTAGAATAACCTATGTTTTTAAAAATAAAATAAAATAAAAAATAAATAATTGCATCATTGAAAAATTTGAACAAGGATGTTCACAATAATTGTGGTCACGAAGAGCTTCTGGTTGCTCAATTTTACGTATTGCGTTTCACCACCAATGGTTATTACCAGGACTTGCTCACCTGATCATATTAAAGAGTAATTACCTTAACCAGTCAGTCCCACAAGTACTGTTCAAAATAATAAACCAAAGTTATCTCTAAACTATAGAATGAAGAAACGAACATTCGCAACATGCGTCTACTCTAGAATCCTAGCAGCAACTTCACAAGTTACGGTCCGAAGAGCTTTCAAATTTCTTCAACATATAGCTAAAGTCGCAAAACAAATACATACAATTCAGCAACTATTCAGTACAATACATTACCTGTATATTCGCATTATCTTTTATAGCATTTTTAATTCAATATTTTCCCCATGAAAGTCTCCATATACATGCTCTAAATTATGATGTTGGAATGTGTGAGTGGGAGTGCGAAGTATGAAAAATACAATATACAAAAAGTGCGAAGTGTAAAAAAAGATAGTTCTAATATTTTTTGATGTTACTAAATATGTAATTAAATATATAATTAGTATAACAAAAACAATTATATCATAGAAGAATATTCGTCTGATTGATTAATTTTATCATCTTTCATTGGTTTTGCTATCTTTTTAATTTCATCACCTTTCAGCAGTTTTGCCAGTTTTGCCAGTTTCATCACCTTTTCGCCAGTTTTGTTATTTTAAATTTTTTTTACCAAAAATCGAAACTAGTTTCACATTTTGTCAGTGACAAACCTCTTAAGTTTCACCTAACAATACTACTCATAACTTGACCAGATCATAAGATATGTAAGATAAAATTTAAATTTTATAAAGCACAATATATAATTGACTAGCAGAATTGACAAATTTAATAGATTTTTATAGTTCAATACTTTCAATATAATCTTTTTGTTAAGTGTTTTGCTCTCTGAATCCCTGATAAGTTAATAATTATATATAAAATTGTATAAGTCTGAAATCTTAATTATGTCATAACATAATTGTAAATTTTAAATTGATTCGAATTACTCTTTTACTATTTAATTAGAGTAATTTTTGGTAGTATTAATTCATTCCAAAGTACATTGTCTACTGTTGTATTCGATGTTGAATTCTTAATATATTTTCAAAATTTTCTGATTCTATAGTAGCTTTCTCTTCACACTTCATTTACTATATATATTTATTATTTCTATTTTTATACAAATTAGCAAAAATAATATAATATATGTTGTATCATTTTGAGGCTAACAAGACTTCAAAATATTTGTAATTTTACTCGAATTTTGGTCTTAGTCTTGCTTGAGATCTATATCTATTTATTTTCTATTTAGGTTATTTTATAATAGCTTTATTATTTTCTAATGCTAGTCAAAATTTAAAACTAAGCTAATAGCTTGTATAGTAATTTGTATTTGCCTATTGGGGTGTTCGGTGTACTATGTAAATCAAATCTATATGTGGTCCTATATGAAAATCAATTATCAAAAATTTTCATGTAACATACATGTAAAATACTGCGGAAAAAGTTATTTCGACAAAAGTCTAAGTCTTTTTATTGGCTTTTTTTTGTTATGAAAAAGCTCTTTATTACATTAAAATATGCTATTCACTGAACTTCCATGTGAAATTTCTAAACAGATTATTATGTAGAATATTGAGAAGATACAAATTAAAATATATAAGAAATCGGCATATTTCAAATTATATCTCCTCGATAGTCTATATATTAATCTATTTAGAAATTTCGCTTGAGTGTTCAATGAATGGTGTATTTTAATGAAATGTGGAGTTTTTTTTCATATTCAAAAAACTAATCAAAAGACTTAAATTTTTAACTATTATCGCAGTATTTTTATTATTAACGTGAATGTTATTTTTTAGATTATGAAAAAAAACTCTATATTACATTAAAATACACCATTCACTGAACTCTCAAGCGAAATTTCTAAATAGATTATTATGTAGACTATTGAGAAGATATAATTTGAAATATGCCGATTTCTTATATATTTTAATTTGTATCTTCTCGATATTCTACATAATAATCTGTTTAGAAATTTCACATGGAAGTTCAGTGAATAGTATATTTTAATGTAATAAAGAGCTTTTTCATAACAAAAAAAAGTCAATAAAAAGACTTAAACTTTTGTCGAAATAACTTTTTCTGCAGTATTTTACATGTATGTTACATGAAAAATTTTTGATAATTGATTTTCATATAGAACCACATATAGATTTATTATCGAACACCCGTTCATAAGCATAGGTAGCACGATTTTATAATGAATTAATATTTTATTAAAGGATTCATCCATACTGCAAAAGATTTTGCTATTAAATATCTGGTATTTTATATATGAAACTCATAGATTGTTTAACTCTATCTAAGTTGCTTATCACTATTAAAAGATTTCTTATACATATTTTATATATAGTAAACTTTAATCTTGTATATTAGTTCAAATTTTATTTTTAGTTTAAATAACATGTTTTTGCTTATACGTATACTATAATATAATTATTTTATAAGATGAACAATACTTTGAAAGCTTGTACAAGATAATTAGTAATATTTTTACAATTATTACACTCAGATTCTTAATACAAGTCTAGCGATCATACTATGTTCTGAGTTTAAATGTGAATATATAACACAGCTACTCTAATTTACCTCAATTATATTATATACTTTAAAATTGTAAAAATTTATCTATAAAAAAATCCTACCACTATTTTTTTATTTACCTCATTTTACCCCGCATTTTTCAAAAAACCCATTTTCTATATGCCACCCTTTAAAAAAAATTTTTTTAAATTTATCTCACATTTTATACATGCCAGATCAAATATAATTGTGCATACTAAGTCGACTAAAATCAACTAGTCAACTAAATTTTATTAATCGACTAAAAATCAGCTAAAAATAAGAATAATGATCATTAGAAATGATCCGATGTAGAGCAAATTTCTTAATAAATATTCTAAATATTCTGAAAACATGTCTATAGTAGACATTTAGATTAATAGTAGACCAACAATCAGATTTGGATTGGTTGACTCAATCGATTCCCATCACTGTTTGATATATCATACAACTAGTTGACTAGTTATAAAATTAGTCGACTGATTAGTTGACTAAAAAATTTCAGTCGATTCCTAATCTTCCCAGTATCGCCACCAAAAAGTTACTGATACGTGATCTTTGGTATAATTCTTTAAAGCTTATTTGGGTTTGGGTTAGGGTCTATGTTAAGGTTTGGGTTTAGAGGTTTAAGAGCAAACTCACAAATCTTGAGTTACAGAAAATCTGATTTGGTAAAATCACGTGCTAGTAACCATTTGGAAACTACCCCAACAACACCCCGAAAAATTCTGCAAAACGTGACCATGAGCCAATCACAGTTGAAGATCAGGTTAATATAATACAATCCGAAAAATTAAAAACAACCATTCTTTTTGCCAATAATCGCCCATAACTCAAAAATCTACATAGGAAACCAT